AAAGCATGTGCTCAACATGTTGTAGAGGTGAAAGCAGCTCTGATAACTTCATCATTTCACATCAACAGAAAAACCCAAACCAGCAGTGAGGGTGGAGCCTCAGAGCACCATCTACACTGGAGACACTGTTACTCTGATCTGTGAACTGCAGCTCTCACTCACTGGATGGAAGTTTCTCTGGTACAAAAACACTCAGTCAAATTATCTGACTGCTGATGAAAACACCAACACAATCAGTATAACAGTGTCTAATACAGGAACAGAAGAGTATAAATGTGTAGCACGCAGAGGAGAAACCTACTACACACATTACAGTGATCCAGTCAAGATTACAGTCAGAGGTACATCATGATTTCTGTTTTAACAAATGACGTGATTTAATTCATGATTATGAGAAAATATTTTACAATTATTTTATGTTTTGGAACAGTGAGATGTATATTTAGAAATAATATATAATTTATATATAATATTCATCTTCTTTGAACAGAGAGACCAAAGGCTAAAGTGAAAGTGCAGCCAGCTGAGCATGTGTTCATCAGAGAGAGAGTCACTCTCACATGTGACATAGAAGGTGGAGATGTCTGGAGTTACGAATGGTTTAAGAATAATAAACGTCTCAGTGAAGCTGAAAGGAGGAAGAAATATGAAATCTCTAATGCTGATCAGTCTGATGAAGGTGATTATAGCTGTAAGGGAACAAAGTCAACAGAGCCGCGCTACTCAGAGACCAGTGATGCTGTTAGACTGACTGTATCAGGTGAGTCTCATCTTTCTCTCTTTATTTCTATCGTTAACAGTTAAAGTGTAGAGGTGCATTATTACTGCACAGATATCATCCTGTGCATGAAGTTAAGAAGTGATAGAGGAGGATCAGCACATTTCTCTTTAAAACACAGTATCTTAGAAACCCCTGTGAGTTCAGAGCTCTCAACTCATAAACATAAACAAGAAAAAGTGTTAATTGAATGGTGAATAGAATGTGGTATAAGAATTAGATATTAGTATCAGGGGGTTTAAATTAGTTGTGTTTCTTTCTGCTCTGCTGGTTCTTGTCTCATTCTGTTATAGAGCTTTTCATTTAAATAAACAGAGAGATCTCACTTTGGTGTTGGTTAGTTCATAAATAATTTTATTTGTGTAATACAAGTTGTACAGAACTACATTTATACTTGTAATTTGTTTAATTTGTTTTTGCAACAAAAAAGTGAATGAGCGCAATGTTGTCTGTGTATTTCTTTTTTTTTTTGTCTGTTGAATATTCAAGTCTCTTTAATAGAAGTCTCTTTACTCTTTAATATATTTCAAAATACAATTGTTAGAAAACATACATTTCCACTTATATTTACAAATATATTTCAGTAGTCATATGATGAAGTTTGGATCTGGTCAAATGAGGTTAAATGACGTGTTTTGTTGATTTTCTAAGTGAAAATAAGTTACTCATCCTCTACAGAGACACACTACTGCAAATTTTAATGCACAAGTACTGTTGATTTGCTGAGTTTAACATATTTGGAAATCAAAATATAAAATATGGCCTGTGCAGAAGTTATGGCACTTTGAATTGAATACGGCACATTCTATTTTCTATTTTATTATATTATAAATGTTTTAGATTTTTCTTATTTTTTTACCCCAATATGTTACCCCAGAATTCTGCAATTAAATTTGCAAATTTGCAAAGGATGTGTAACATCCTCTACAAAGTGTGAACATTTTCACTTAGAAAATCAATTTAATATCATTTGACCAGGGGTGTTCAAAATTTTGTGTATGACTGTATAAATAATGTGTTTAGACAGATGTGTCACTAGAGGTTCATGAATAGGGGGGCTAAGCCTGTGCTCTTGGTTCTTGGGGCAAAGTTGGTCCCAAAGGAGAATTTTTTTAATGGCCCACAATGTTTATAATGCACTTTTAGAGTAGCAACAGCTACAAAAATGTAAAGTACATCAGCCGTGTTAAGTATATCAGAAAATACTTATGTGGTTAAATTGGCACACAGTAGATCTGTCTCTACATAGTTTGTATTAAGCACAGAGCCAGTATAACAAACACTACATCCATCCATTTACAACAGGTACAGATCAAGCAAAGGTACTGAAGTCAAACAATGCTCTCTCCTCTCTCTTAGATAAGCTGCAAGGTCCTAAATATATTATTCAAATGCACAGATTACAGATCAGTTCAGTCTCAGTTGGTGCAATCAGAAAGAGTGTGATTTTGCTCTGTAGGCATGTTTAATAAGCTAGGTGACAGAATTTCATGGTCATGGTGGCAAATACTATATTTTCCCAGTTAAATTAAGTTAAATTCAGTATTAATTTTAACTGAAAGCTTATATAACTCTCCCTCACTTTCTCCTTGATCACTAACCTCCATCAGATCTGCCCCTTCAGTCCTGTCAGTTTCATTCAGCTTCTTTCTCCCCCTCTCTTCCTGTGTTTAGTAATACATTAATTTTTTTATTAAACTCAAATGTGTAAGAAATCAAGGAAATAACAATCAGGTTTTTTTTTTTTACTGGTAAAGATCTTCTCACCTGACTGGTCTTTGACTCTGTTGCTGCCTCTTAATTTCCATCTACAGGTTGAGGAATTGAAAGATATTAAATTGCGTTATGCTGACGTTTTCGCACAAAGCCGAATCAGCTTCTTGTTTGAATTTTCCACCTTAAATGCTGCAGCAGAGTCATTCTGGCGCTTCACAGCGGGAAAACTTGAACAAGAATCTGGCAAACAGGAAGCCAAATTTAGCCTCGTCCTTTTAACTGACATTAACTTACTGTAAACAACAAGATATGGCAAAACTGGTGTCATTCTTTCCAAATACTTAAGAGAAATATAAAAACAAAGAATGTAAAGAGGTATCAATAACATTATTTCAAGTTTCTCTTTTTCATTTATACTCTCATACTCTCGCTATGAAGTGGTTAAACCAGAGACTTTATAGATTAAAACTAATATTAGTGTTAGCCTAATGTCTTTTCTTTACCTCACTTAAACCCAAAGTCAACTAAAGTTAGCTAGCTAGAGTTAAGCAACCAATTAAAAAACAATTATCCATCTGTACTGACCATAATTTGCCACAAATCCATATTGTATGTGTATATATTCAGTCTGTTTCACTCTGTATATATAGATTTTGAATATAGATTTTGAATAATGTCTAATGTTTATTTTAGTGAGCTTTTAGCCAAAATCCTGTCGTTAGTTTGGCTACCAATTACTTTGCAGTGAATAACCAGAGGCCCTCCCCCAGGTATGATATAATTGGCTTAAAACGTATGAGGTCAGATATGATTGGCTTAGAACATATGAGGTCTGATATGATTGGCTGAACGTTAAGTTAGTCAATCTATGGTAGTACAGCAAAGGCAGCTCAGCATTTGAGTAGGAGCAGCAGCAGCAGCGCCTCCCCCAGGCCCTGCTATTACAGTATATTGTGAATGAGAATAAACTATAGATTATTTGAACCAGTAATGTACATTGACTTAGGACGGGGGACTAAGTAACATTGGCCTAGCAATGCCCATGTGTTTAGATATGACTGTGAATGTATAACAGTGGATAAAAAACAAGTAATTCACTCAAAATCAAACGACTGTGAATTTCCTGCCACATAATCAAAATGTCTCACAAGGCACAAAGCATGCGCTCAACATATAAAGGTGAAAGCAGCTCTGATAACTTCATCATTTCACATCAACAGAAAAACCCAAACCAGCAGTGAGGGTGGAGCCTCAGAGCACCGTCTACCCTGGAGACACTGTTACTCTGATCTGTGAACTGCAGCTCTCACTCACTGGATGGAAGTTTCTCTGGTACAAAAACACTCAGTCAGTACAACTGACTGCTGATAAAAACACAAACACAATCAGTATAACAGTGTCTAATACAGGAACAGAAGAGTATAAATGTGTAGCACACAGAGGAGAAACCTACACACACATTACAGTGATCCAGTCAAGATTACAGTCAGAGGTATGTCTTGTTTTCTGTTTTCATTTTGCAAATTATTACATTTTAGAGACAGTTATGAAATATTATTTTACTGAATGAACTGAATCGTTTCATTCCAAAATGCTACAGGTCCATGTGTTACAATTTTGTATGAGTTTTTGAAAAGAATAACAACTGGTGTAAAATGGAAAATACGTTTTTATTTCTCTAATAAAGGTGATATTAATCATAATATAGCACTGATATTTATTGTATATGTAAAGCTCACTCCGAACAGTTTATAATTAGTTTTGGAATTTATTCCTTTAACAATTCCACATTATTCTTTGGTTTTAAATGCTGTCACGTGTATTTAGAGAGATTCAATATTTCGGTTACAAAAGTATTTATCTTCTGTGAACAGAGAGACCAAAGGCTAAAGTGAAAGTGCAGCCAGCTGAGCATGTGTTCATCAGAGAGAGAGTCACTCTCACATGTGACATAGAAGGTGGAGATGTCTGGAGTTACGAGTGGTTTAAGAATAATAAACGTCTCAGTGAAGCTGAAAGGAGGAAGAAATATGAAATCTCTAATGTTGATCAGTCTGATGAAGGTGATTATAGCTGTAAGGGAACAAAGTCAACAGAGCCGCGTTACTCAGAGACCAGTGATGCTGTTAGACTGACTGTATCAGGTGAGTCTCATCCTTCTCTCTTTATTTCTATCATTAACAGTTAAAGTGTAGAGGAGCATTATTACTGCACAGATATCATCCTGAACAGAAAGAAGTGATAGAGGAGGATCAGCACATTTCTCTTTAAAACACACAGTATATTATACACCTTAATGAGCTTAGGACACCCAATTAATAAACACTGGATAGATGAGAGAAAGGCAATGAAATTTTAGTTTGAGTTCACAGACACAAAGTGGATAATATAGTTAGAGTAAAACTTCAATAATGACAGCCTTAATAAATGGTAATTCAATAAATATTGAATACATATGTTGCACATGCATTGATACATAGGCATTAAGTACTGCCATTTCAATTGTTAACAATGTACTTAGTGATTAAATAATAATAATAATTGTAAATAATCAAAGTCTAATCATTTTAAATAGAATGTTAATATTTAGTTGCATGTAAACAATTGAAAATCAGTATGAATAACTACTTAGTAATAGTCTATACTTTGTATTAAATGAATAAATTAAGTCGTTTATGTTGTTACTTGGTGGCTCAGTTAATCATACTACATGGTTAATATATACTTTTTAAAACAATAGTGATTATTAATTAGACCTTTTATGAAAGGCATGAAGGCATTCTTACGCGCACACACACGGTGACCCAAAACATTAAGACACAGATGAAGCGATTAACTCTTGATTGTCTCACAACAGCATAGTGTGTCAAGGTCTGGGATGTATTAGACCACATGTGTCAGGATCCAGTCCTCGTGGGCCAAATCACTGCAGACTTCAGCCACTGCCTCATTACACACACCTGATTCAGCTAATCAGCTAATCAGTAAGGTCTTCATGAACTGAATTCATAGTGTTAGATGAGGGTAAACGCTAATGTCCACAGCACTTTTGCCCAGTTTGACATGCCTGTATCAGATGGTAAGCGAACAGTCAGTTCTCATAGTCAACGTGTTTGATGAGGGAGAAATGGGCACTGTGTTAAAAAAATAAAATTCAGCTCATAGTAAAGTTATAAGGTAACTCATTATGCAGGTTTTCTTGAGTTAACTCAACTTGAGGACACCAGATTTCACCCAACTCAAACTTTTTAGTTTAGTCAGAAGTTCTCTTATGTTAATTTTGTTTTGTATTCAAGTTAGTTAACTAACATAATTTTTAAACTCAATTTCCATACTAACCTATACATGTTCTTCTCTTGGATACTCAATTATAGATGGCTATGGAATTGCTGGGGTTTAAATTCACAATTTCTTCTTGGAGTGATGACTTAGTCCATTGCACCACCCAGGGATACCAGTTACTCATTGTACTTTTGTGTACAATGTTTGATACATTGTAGAAAATATATGTTGCTTTAACTTTAAAACGAGGCATGAACACATGTGGTGCAACTGTCTAAAAATTCATCAAGAAATTGCAAGTTTGAAGCCCAACAAAGCCACAGCCATCTGTATCTGGAATCCCAAGTGGAGAAAATGCCTAATGGGACTGTGCGTTAGAAAGAGTTCCAGCTAGTGGAGAAATTGAGTAAAAAACAAGTGCTATATTATTTACCTAACTGAGATTCAGAACTAAAACATGAGATTGAAGAGAAATTTGACTAAACTAAGAACTAAGAACTAAGAGTTGGGTGAACTCTTAGTCTTCCTTTGGTGTCTGTCCATCACTGGGTACACAATGGGGGGCTGCAGCCCCTGACCCTTTTTTGTCTCAAAATGAATAATTCCCTTTTGATGAGCTCTAAATGCTTAATATGCCTTTGTGCCAAACCTGTGTAAAACTCAAAACTGTCCCCGGAGGAAAGCACAGCGTGGTTGCATCTGCACTTTCATAAAATGGATTTAAAATAGCAGCCTGACTGCACAGTGCTTTTGTTTCTCTGTCCACACTTTTCCTGCCACTTTCAGTTTACATCATAAAGCCACGTCAAACTTCAAACACCAGAGATTAATATATTATATAATTATTATATTAGATAATATAAGAGGAGATGGCAATCCTATGCTTTTTGCCATTATGGAAAATTGTAATGCTTGGCTTGGCCAATAAAATCACACCTTGTAAGTTGTAAGTTAATCGTGTCCGATATTGACGTCAGCAAAGCTCTTCCAAGTGTACTGTTCTCCTTAGCAATGGCAGTCATCAATTTACAAACTTTAGAAAAGTTAGTTTAGAATAAATCATTACTGATCACTGCTTTTATAATACACTGAAATACTCATGATTACAACATTTAGTTCTGCATATATTTGCACTACAGAGGAGAGTTTGTACTGCTGTCATAGCCAAACTTAATAACATTTAGATCAGCTGGTACACTTTTTTGGGTTACTGCCTCTAATACTGTCTGCTACAAGCTGTTGTATAATGTGATTATACCCTTATTCGTCTGAAAATTGTGAAAGTAAAGTAAATTAACAGAAGAAGGGTGCAGCTTTTTTGCTGGCTTGCTAATTAACTAAATTTGTGTTACTGTGTCCTGCTTCAGCTCATTTTTGGTGTAAAAGTATAGAATTGCCATCAGTAAAGCAGATTTGCCATGAGTAGCCCACTTTGACTAGCTAAGTTAGCTCTTGCAGATTCATGAGTTGTTTAGATTGTGATTGAAGCATTTCTTACAGCAGCTAGTGAACCCACATGTGCCACTTTGATGCTCGCCACAGGACTCGAGATGATGAAAAAGGATGGATGATTCATAAAAGTTACTTGTACAATGAGTTGGTTTAAAGTGAGGAAGAGTTGCAAAGTTCAGTTAAACCAAACGGAAACTTTTTTGGACTCACTGTGCAGTAGACCACTGACTGAACTTGACTACCACAGTGCTAATTTGCTAAATTGAAGCGTCAGAGTAGAGCGTTCAAATTAATTCACTCTAAATAATTTAGAAAATGGTTAGCCCAAATGATTTAAAAATGTAGTACTTTTCAATCAAAATGTAAAATTTTCACTACTTTGTGTAAGTTGAATTTTACTAGTCATTTGTCACAATTTTGAAATACGTAATTATATCACCATTACATCTTTTTTTAGGAATGTGTTACATGAAGGAATGTTCTGACCTTATGCTCCTAAGCCCATACATTTCCCACTGAGATCTGGGGCCCCTTAGCCAGTCCAACCACATGTCCTTCCCTATAAATATTAAATGAAACTTGATAAGGACTGGTATTCTTTAAATAAACATTGCCAATTGGATCAAAATACGACCAAAAATGTTTTAATAAAATTATTAGTGTTTGATATCCAATCAGAGGCTCTGTGACAGTCCACAGGCATTTTGAAGTGAGACTGAATGGTACTGATTCACTCTTAGCTTGCAGAACAGAACCAATAATGGATCATAAGTCTTTGAAAAGCAGTATTTCCAAGAGAAGAGCAAAGAAAGAAAAGGAAGTGAAGGAAAGGAGGTGGTCTTCAAAGTTGCCTGTGCCCAGGGGCTGTTAGAGACATGACAGATCTCTGTTTAGCACTTAATCCATGCACCAAGCAAGATTCAGAGTTCTAGTTGTAAAATGTAGACAACAGCAAATACTTTAAAAAAAAAAACATTAATGACAGACCTCGATTAACTTTGATTTACAACGTCTGTTTATTCAATCAAGAATTTGTAATATTAACCATCCAGGTATACTCTACTGCAGAAGAGTATGAGAAAACATTGCAACTTTTGTACCATAAGCTGAAGCAAAAAGCTTCATACAGCACAAAACATGCTTTAAATATTAGATCTACTGCTTATGTTATAAAGGTGAAAGCAGCTCTGATAACTTCATCATTTCATATCAACAGAAAAACCCAAACCAGCAGTGAGGGTGGAGCCTCAGAGCACCATCTACACTGGAGACACTGTTACTCTGATCTGTGAACTGCAGCTCTCACTCACTGGATGGAAGTTTCTCTGGTACAAAAACTCTCAGTCAGTACAACTGACTGCTGATGAAAACACCAACACAATCAGTATAACAGTGTCTAATACAGGAACAGAAGAGTATAAATGTGTAGCACGCAGAGGAGAAACCTACACACATTACAGTGATCCAGTCAAGATTACAGTCAGAGGTACATCTGCTTTCTGGCTTCTTTCCCCTTTTCTCAAATGGCCTGATTTTAATAACACTTATGAAAAATTAATACACAATTATTCCATATTATTCCATGTTTTTGAATACTGAGATGAATCTTCAAAGAGAATATGTGTTTTAATATTCATCATCTGTGAACAGAGAGGCAATCAACAGAACCAAACTACTCAAAGACCAGTGATGCTGTAACAGGTGCATGTCTCATTTTTTTCTCTTTATTTCTGTCATTAACAGTTAAAAAAACTATACTATATCTATATTATCTATATTATTTTTTCATGCTGTTTATTTGCTTTGTGACATCATAGTAAACCAAAACCAAAGTACAGTTTAAATACAAATTTACATCCTTTAATTTCCTCAGTCTCAGGTTCTGGATCCTCAGTCTCAGATACTGGATCTAGTCATATAACAGCAGGAGTGGCAGTGGGACTGAGTTTAACCCTTTTGGTCATTATCATACTGAGCCTGTTTTGGTGTTACAAGAAGAAGAAAGGTTTGAAAATAATCTCTTTATCTGTTCTATGTAGATAGTATATGCAGGCTGGTTCAAGAGAAACTATTTCTGTTACCAATTATACATTTAGTATTGTCATTTTACAGCTATTTTACATCTAACATCTGATTTTTTCATGTCATACTCATGCCTGTAAGGCAAAAAGTAAGCTTTTAAATTTTATCACTGGTTTACTGTTGATGTGCAGGATCTCTCTCCCTCTGCTGAAAACTGTCAGGACCTGCAAGCTCTCTCTTTATGTCAGTGCCACTGCAGGCTGGTCAGTTTACACTGCCAGCAAACTTACCAGCATTTAATCTTAATGCTAGTAACAGCATTTTATTAAAATAACTTATTTGCTCTTTAGTAAGCACTGATCACTTTTATGGCAGTGTTGGTATGGTGGATAACCGGAACACAGCTACTGTTTGTTTGTGTGTCTTTAATAAGTGACTTCTTTTGTTCTAGATGATTCTTCAACCCAGCCCAGTGATGTAACTTATGCGCAGGTTGTGACTACTAAAAAGAAACTAAGAGGAAATGGTAAAAACTGCATCTCTGCAATAACAGAATCTGTTTTCTATTTATTTCACTGTCAAAATGTAAACTGATTTCTGTATTATAAGCTCTTCATCTGCATTTGGGAATAAGTCACAAAACCTATTGACATGACATATTGCCAAATTAAGATGAAGAGCCTGAAACGCCACACTGAAGATAAGCAATTCCTACTGCACATTATTTTAAAAGATCACACTGACTGTAACATATAACATATGGCTGTAGCTCTGTAACACTGCACAAACAAGCCTAATGAATCTGTGGGTGAATTTGTTTACTCATTTATCTGATTATTAATTATTATGATGCTGTACCAAGGCCAAGTAATGCACTTTACTGACTGAAACAAAAACTAAGTGCTTGGTAGTTGAATACATTTCTCAGTCTGGAGAATGACTGGAAACTACCTTTACCATAATGCCACTAAAACGCACAGTTGCTTTTCTGAAAGGCCTTATAGTTTTTATAGTTTCAGCACACATACACAATCACAGATATTTTATCAGAAGGAAAATAAAAAGAGAGTAGGCATGGTCACAGTTATTAGAACACGGATATGTGAACTCATCTTGTGTCATATTATCCCCAGTATGGGAAAGTGAATGTGCGGCATCATTAACATAACATTCCATAGAAAAATTCCATAGATATGGATGAAATTAGAAATGAAACAAATGAAATCGATTGCCCAGTTTTTAACCCCAAATTATTCGCCATATTTCCGTCGTGGCACTTTCTCATACAGTCACGGGGTCTATGAGTTTTTCACCATTAAAAATTAGTCCATATGAAATTTGTCAACAAGTTCTGGAACAGGCCTAGCAATGTAAGGGGTGGGCGCAGCTTCTCAAGGTTCACCTACAGCAATGGGTCTGGATGTTGCATCATTGGTCGATGCACAAGAGAGCTAATAAAAAGTCTTGATGAACTCCAAGGTCTGAAGGTTGATGTTAGGTGTAACATTAGCAGAGGTGGGAACGTCACTAAGTTGCAAGTAAGTCTCAAGTCTTGACACTCGAGTTTCGAGTCAAGTCCCAAGTCAGGACAGTTGAGTCTCGATTTAAGTCCCAAATCACTACAGGCGAATCTCAAGTCAAGTCCCAAGTCCTAATGCTCGGGTCCTAAATAAGTCAGTATGCATTCCTTAGCGAATTTAAGGCCATTTGAATACTGAACACCAAAAATGATGGTAACACTAATATAGTCATTTAATGACAGGATGGTAGTTCCATGGTACATATGTCCATGACAGACATACTGGTATACACAAAGAGCAGTGCACTACACATGAAAAGAAGGTAACACTTTTTTTGGAGAGGTCCTTATCAGATTATCAGTAACACATCAACATTTCTTATTCCAAACCTTCCTTCTTTTTGACAAAATCTTTCCCCAAAATGTTGTTTCTGTCTCTGTTTCTGTCTTTTATTAAACATTTTTTTCTTGTGATCGTTTGGGGGCACTTAAAGCATCAGAATAGATGTATTCTCTTGGATTTTACATCATTGTTCACACACAAGCACAGAGCAACACAGCTTAGCTGTTGTCAATACCCACGCTGAAGATGGTGCCATTGTCCAATCAGCATTATTAGCACATCAATTATCCTCAAATGTGGTTTGATCAGATTTGACCAGAAATTAGTGCTGAACATTACTGCTGAAAGAAGGCCCCGATATAGCACAGATGGTTGGGTCTCATTACAATTCTCAATACAATGAATAGGTACTAATGCAAATGACTCTCTCCAGACGTAAAATACTTCTATATTTCATTAAAAGAAAATATCTGAACATATGATCTGTTTGAAGATTTGCTGTTTTAATAAGACATTTTGTGTTTTAATAGACCAAATGCTTTTAGCTTGCATGGAAAACATTAATTATGCATGAAAATGTTCTTGTTCTTGTTGAATCCTAATTACTCTTTGCTGTTCACTATCAGGAAAGACCACTGGCAAAGATGTCATTGTTTATTCAGAACTGAAGCGGAACACAGACCAAGGTGAGATGAGATGATGCCCTAAATAACAGGTGGTAGTGTTAAGTAGAGCCAAAAATAGTTTATGAAGTTTTTAAAAGCCAAAATTCGTCTTGCCTTGACAGTCCAAGCTATTTGAAGAAGAGCAGTGTGTTTCAAACAGAAAAAAGTGATTTTATTCAAGTCAAATTGCTACCGAATTTTGATGAGGTGCGATTCACCTGTCCTCTTCTATCACACATAGTGTCTTTCTTTATAGATCTTGCTTTGCACATGGGGTCATGCTGAAACAATTAAGGGTTTTCCCCAAAACTTCCCCAAGTTAGACCATCTCTAGAATGTCATTGTATTCTGTAGCATTAAGATCTCTTCATTTGAACTAAGGGACGCAAGCCATGACAAACCAGCCTGGATCATTATTCCTCCTCGATCAAATTTTACAGTTGGCACTACGCATCTGCCAAACCCAGAGTCATTTTGTCAGATGATGAAGCAAGATTCATCACTCCACTGAACAATTATAACACTTGTCATGTGTCTTGTAACTGAGGACACATTATTTTAAACACTATGGTTTTCAGCACACTTTGGCCCCATTCTGTGAGCTTGTGTGGGCTAGCGCATCACAGCTGAGCTGTTGTTGCTCCTAGATATTTCTACTTTAACCAGGGCTTACAGGGTATACATTTGATGAACTGACTTATTGAGAAGGTGGTATCATAATGCCACACTCAAAGTCACCAAGCTCTTCAGTTTGATCTGCTCCACTGCCAGTATTTCTTTGTGGAGATTGCATATATGCTTGATTTTATTCTCCTGTTAGCACTGTGTGTGATTGAAAAGTCAAACCCTCTAATTAAAAAAGTGCCCACATAACTTTGGCCATGTAGTGTTAATAGTATAAACTGCACAAAGACATGCATCTAATGTTACCTGTAAAGCTGTGATAAACAGGCCAGTTGACACTTGATTAGGGATAAATGTTTTTTAAAATGGTTTGTTAAGTACATTTTAAACACTGAAATATTAACTATTATTTGGGCTGTTATTATAAAACGCCATAAGCACCAGATGGAAAGGTACTATTTTGGTGTTTGCTCTGTTTCTGTTCAGGGAAACCGTTGGTACACTTTGTTAACTGTCAAGAACACTATCCGACAATATTCAATTTAGATTTTTTTTTCTTTTCTCTTAGGTCTTTGAAGAAAGCCTGTGTTGTTGCAGAACTCAAAAATAACCATTTATAGTGATTCCTGATTGAGGCTTTAAGGAGTTCAGACAGAGGAGGGCAGCATCTGAACATATTTACCTTTTGCAAGTGTCTTTAATACAGTTTTTTTAATAGTAATTGTTTGACTATTGTGCTATATTGATGAGGTGAAACTGGTCTTATTTACTTTTTTGTCATTTTACTGACTCAGATTCAGTGAGTGATCTGGTGTTTGTTAAGATTTGAACAGGAACATGGGCTGGACATGAAAAGATCAGGGGTTCAGTCCAGTTCACTGTTGGATTTAAATGTGCAGATATTACTTATCAATTTATTGTGAGGATCTACACATCAACAATACTTGCATCAATTCAGCACTGTTGACTGGTGTATCTTGCAAACAAAATCAGAACAACAAGAGTGGAAACACTGCTTGTAACAGAAAAAATGTGTCAAAAACAGATGTTTCCCCAATTATGCCATGATTAAAGTCCTTTGCACATTTCCTCTCTCTCTCCACATCAACCTTCTGCACGTCTCCTCTCTGTCCTGCTAACACAGAAACATTTTATCTTTTATCATTTTATATGTTTACTGATACTTCATGACACTTTCATTACTTAATAGTCATTCAGTAAAGCTGTTGTCTAATGTCTAACCAAACTAGAAACAATATTTTAAATATCAATGATCACACTAAGCCAAACCATTCCATCTAGATAATTCTGTAATTGTCCAGTAAACATTCTTAGTACAATGGGACCAACAAAATATCAGGTAAACATTTTTTACATAGGCCTACAACATTAAGCTCAGTTTGTGCTTGCATGTGTCTCACGCATGTGCACTCGCTCTATCTTGCTCTCTCTCTCTTTCTCTCTCCTGCTCTCTCTCTCTCAACATTATATTCTACAGCTGTGTTGGAATAGCTCCAGAGTTTGAGGAGTGCCTGTGAATGAAACTGTGGATAATGAGAGTGATGTGCAAATATGTTACATTGTAATGTTATTAGCCTATAAGGTTTGGGGCTGGTTAACAATATTCTGGGATCCAGCTCCTGTATTTGAACTTAAAGGTTAGTAAAATACAATGGTCCTATTTTATGATATAAAAAGATTTAACTTCTCTAAATTTCTTCTTGAGAACGGTTGGTAAATGAGGCTCATTATTATTATAAAAAACTGATTTACATGTATTAGTTCATTAGTTTCCACCACATATCTATTTTCTTCTGTTTTGCCAGTCAAATAATGTTTAACATCTTCTGGAGAGAAAACATCAGTAAACAGTAGTGATACTGTGATGTGGTACTTTCAAACATTGAGTATTTTAATGTTATTGTCTTTTTCTATTTTTCTATAGCCATAAGTTTAGATGCTTGATTTGCTCTGTTTTCTTATCTCAACTGAAATTTTGAAATTCTCATTTTTAGAATATTGTAACCTCTTTGTTAACTGTTTTATTATTAACATTTATTTTTTATTTATAATCAAGTTATGACTTAATGAAAAAACTGTATTTCATTATATCTTTAACTAATTAACTAACTAACACAACATTGTAGTAAAAGCTGTATTTTTATTGATTTGTAAAAGCCCAAATTAACACAAATAAATATTTTTTCTAATCACAACAGCTCTCATATTCTGTTCTGTCTTCAGAGAAAGATTTCAGCTTTGATCAAGTGTCAGTTTGGCTGAAATTGTAGTTTAGTAAAGGAGTACGAACATGAATGTTAAATTGATGGTCACTGGCTTGTTAACAGGGGTGCTGAGCAGTGAATTGAGATCAGTTTCCAGTGCTTCATTTTGTAATTCTTCTGCATTGCAAGTGAAACTATCAGGACTGGTACAGACTCATAGCAAATAATTCACCCACACTTTTAATATCAGGGTCTATGATCAGGCTTTTTAAAAGTATTTATTTACGCTTTGTTTACTTATTTATCCCTGACTGATGATGGGCCAGTTTGTGGTTGTATCGGATGCACATTTGAATTTAATGTTAAAGCTAGCTAATTAGCTAAATGTCAGAGTTTAGGAAGAGTGATTATAAGAATAAGAATAATTATATGGTGTTATGATAAAAGAGCAGTGGCAATAGAGGCAGTATGCTACACAATCATCAACCAGTCAGAGCCTGTCCAGTATCTGGATATTTTTAAAAACATATTTTCTTCTGTTTTCAAAAAAAAAATCTTTGTCCAAATCAACAGCGTTTTTGAAGATGCCTCTGCCACAGGAGAATGCTAAAAGGACACAAGAACTTTCACATGAGCATGCCAGTCCAGTAAGAGGTGATAATAACTCAATATTTGATGTCAAACACCTCAAGAAGAACATCTTAAGAGTGTGCACTGTGCAAAATATGGAGCCTGAAGCTGAAGCAGAGAATTTTAACAAAGTGTTGACAGCATGTCACAAATACTGAAGGTTTTGACATGCAGGTCATCACACATAATTAGGTATTTAATAGGCCTGTCACTTGCTGCCATGTGGTAGTTTTTGTTGCCAGGCCCACACCACTGTTTCTAAAATATAATGATTGAATAATGTAGTTAGTCTGGCTTTGATTAATGATCATCAAGTCACGTATCTTTACAGTCACTGAGGTTCTGACACCTCTGCATTGCAATTTAATGAGAGACTAAAGTTAAATTCCATTAAAAATCTTATTATCCACAAATCACCAAGTAGAAACCCAGTCATCAGCTGTATTTCAGGGCTCTGCATGCTCAATAAATGAAAACAGCAGCAGCCATGAGCAAGTTACCAGTGTGATTATTTTTACTCACACACTCATTCTAGTGTCTACAGTTTCTCAGCATAATGTTTAAAATCACATCAAAGCATTTTTTCTGGTTACATTCTGGTGCACTTATCTGGTTACTGTGTGCCTTTAAAAATAGCTAAATAAGGCTTTTTATACAGCAAGACGAAAGGAAAAATGTTTGTATATTTGACAAAAAGAACACTACCAAATGGTCAGCTAATGTTCAACATGATGCAGAAAGCTTTGAAAAAATTTTCTTCAACAAGCAGACTGGAAAACTGCCTACTGTGAAGGTCAGCATGGTTATTGTGGTTTATCTGTATTGCAGATCAGCAGTGGGTTTAACAAGTGCAGGAGGGGGAGGAAGTGCTAAGAGGTGTTTTGCTCTACTCATCCTTTCAGATTCTCAGTAAAGGTCAGATTAAAATACACTTATAAACGCTTTTTCACATCAATTAAATAAACACCTTAGAATAAAGACTGTATTTAGTGTGACTTTTTTAAACAAGATGTGAAAGTGTACAAGCAGAAAGAAAGAAGCAGTTTGTCTTGCAGTAGTTCAGTGTTAACATGTCACGCTTCACTTAATCTAATTCAAACAGCAGGTCAGCAACAGAAAAAGTGCAGTGAAGAAAGTTTGAATGAGAGCTGCCACCAGTTACAGTCATGCTATCCCAGTGTCTCTCAGCAGTGGAGCATGTAAAACTCTTTACTCCAGCCTGCAACAACCTACAAAAAAACCAACACTGTCACATTAACAGTTACACAAAATCATTTTCATCTACAGAACAAACACTGAGAACAGTTTAGCTGCTTTGGGCGGAGCGAGTACCTCACTCACCTTAACCGGAGAAACCAGCCTACAATCATCTATAAATCATTTATAAATCAGGTGAACAGATCTTAATCAAATAAAAATAAAAGGTTGTTTTTGCACAACAACACACTGATGTGTTTGCAAACTATTACCAGCATCAGAATGCACTATCCTTTCACTATATGCAGACTTTTTATATACTTTATCAGCCAAACCTGCACATAGAACACTGTTTCAGAGAGCAGACAGAAGATATTTGTGTTTGTGGTCTGACGTCTGTTCCAGTGTAACTGTGGTAATGACATCTTCAGCTGCAAGAACTGCAACAATCCTGTTTAAGAAAAAATAAAACTCACACTTATTATAGTCTTTATTCACCAATACCAGATATACAAGGAATTTCTTCTGGTGCAGGTGTCAACATAATATTAAATTCAATAAAATAGAAAAAGATACTATATAATAAAAAAGACAATACAGAAGTAATCTGCAAGTAATATAAAGGATTTGCAATGGGAGATAAATATAGCTACAATGAAGTACTGAGGTACATATGTACAGCATACACAACTAAAAGAATTCAGCAGCAACTATAAATCTAAATATAAATGTAAACATAGACATGTAAGCAGAGGGATGTGAGAAGGGCCCCCTGTTTAGTGGGATGATGGCCTGTGGAAAGAAGCTGGTTGCTCTTAGTTTTTAGGGCTCTCACTCTTGGTCTCCACTGAGATGGTAACCGCTGGAAGAGAGTGACCAGAGAGATCAGCCCATAAAGGGTGTGAGGGGTCAGCTATGATTCCTCACTCTCTTCCCCATCCTAGATGAGTAAAGGTCTTCGAGGGTGGAGAGCCAAGAGCCAATTCACTGCAGCTTATGCTTAGTGTGTAAAGGAGCAGAGCCAAACCAGATAGAGATGAAGGATGTGATTATGGACTTTCAGAGCTGTCTGAAACTGGACCAGCACCGAAATTTCTTGAGCTGTCACTGAAAGAACAAGCTCTGCTGGGCATTTTTCATAACTGCAGTGTTGTATCTGTCCCGAGGTCCTGCAGAACGGTGGTGCCCAGGAATTTTCCAGGAAGACTCTGCTCTGCTAACTGTGGAGCCGTGTGTGCCCAGTGGAAGCGATGGGGAGGGTTTCTATCTGTAATCAGTGGTCATCTCCACAGTGTGTGTGTTTAACTCCAGGTTATTAGATCTACACCAATATGCCAGTCGTGTTACTTCCTCCTGGTATGTAGACTCATCGTTGTTTCAGATGAGACTGACCAGGACAGTATCTGCAAACTTTATGTATGTGCAAGTGTAACAGAGTCACTGTTAGAAGTATAGTCAGTGGTGTAGAGAGAGTAGAGCAGGGCAGAGAGCACACAGCCCTGTGGAGCACCAGTGCTGAGGCAGAGAGAGTCTGAAATGTGGTCACCCACCCTGACATACTGTTTTCCGTTGGACAGGAGTGGA